CTAGGGGCATGCCTTTGGGGTATATATTTTGTATCTGGCAAGTGGAATCTCTCACTTTCTGCTTTCTAATCATCATGTGAGCTTCCTCCCTCTGCTGTACTTTTCTTCTCACCTCAACTGCCCCAAGGAATGCAGTTGGCTGTTTATGGGATGAGCCCCCAAATAAACTCTTCCTCCCCTAAAATTGTTCTGGCCAAGTCTTTTAGTCACAATAGTAAAAACAGCTGACTGAAACAGACTGTGATGGTGTTTCCAGAGACGATGGGCATGTGGATCAGCAAACTGATAGGGGAAGATCTGCCCTGAATATTGTGGCAACATTTAATAGGCTGGGAGCCCAGAGGGAACAAAAAGTGGAAGAAGAATAAGAAGTCGGGGGAATGGGGAGGAGGAGGAAGAGGAAGCCTGTCTACAGTCCAGCTCAATTCTTGAACAGGGCATTTTGGCTGCTACTATTCCCCATAGACATGAGAATCTAGCTTCTTCAGCCTAGGAACAGGGACTCACACCAGCAATTCTCCAGGGAGCTTCCTGACCTTCAGCCTCAAATTGAGGCTGTATCATTGTTCCCTCTTGTCCTGAGGCTTTCAGATTCCTGGGCTTAGTAGTCACTGGTTTCTCCAACTCTTCAGCTTGCAGACTACTATTGTGGGACTATCCAACCCCCATTCATGTAAAGCCAATCTAATAAACCCCTCTTTATAATTGTGTGTGTGTGTGTGTGTGTGTGCATATGCACACTACTGGTTCTGTTCCTCTAGAAAACCCTGACACATATTTATACAGAAAAGAAATCATGGACTGATGCCTCTAGTTCCAATTAATCCCACAGGATTCCTTTTTGCTTTCCTCTGTTCCAATATTTTTGATGGAATGAGAACTCTATAATGAGAACTTGTTCCCAACAGGATTAACAAACATGTTTCCTCATATGCCCAAATTCTAGATACATTTAGGACAGCTTCACAATTGCTTCATGCATCAGCATAGCTAGCACTGGAATGTCCCTCCAAGGCTCATGTGTTGAAGATTGGGTCCCCAAAGCAACAATGTTCAGAAGTGGGGCTTTTGGAAAATGATTGGCTCATGAGGATGCTAACTTCATCAGTAAATTAATCCATTGATGAATCCATAATCTGAATAGACTGGTAGAAACTGAGGGAGGTGAAATCTAATTGAAGGGAACAGTTCTTGGGGGTGTGCCTTTGGGAACTATATTTGTTCCTGGCCCCTTCCTGTCTTTCAGATTCTTTGCTGCAGCTAGTTGAACAGCTTTTCTCCACCAGGCCCTTCTGCCAGGATGCTCTGCCTCGACTCACTACACAAAGCAATGGAGCAGCAGGCTGACCTTGTGCTGAAATTCTGAAGTTGTTGATAAAAATAAATCTTTCCTCCTTTTAAGTCATTTTACTCAGGTATTTGTCAGAGTGACAAAAAGCTAAATAATACACACATCTACCACAAAATGAATTAGGTATTTACATTAAAAGGAGTTTTGGAGTTGGTTGCAATTCTCCCCTTCAACCTCACTAAACTGAACACTGTGTTCCTGAGTTCCCTGGATTTTTGCTCATCCCCCTTTGGTGTGGTTATAGTATTCATGTGAAATACAATTGAATTCATTTGTTTCAGTTTGTTTACAGTTTTAGGTTTTTCTTTTCCTTCCCATCTTGTTTTAATTTTATTTTCAAATATGTAAAACACCAGCACGCTTCTAAAAGTCAAAACTATACCAAAAAAAAAAAATCTTAGAGAATGTCACTCCCTCTAAAATTATTTCCATTCCCTCCCTGCAGTAAATAATCAACTCCATTATTTTCTGGCTTATCCTTCCTGTGTTTCTTTGGGTAACAATAAGCAGACATGTTTTGTTTCCCCTTATTTCTTTCACAAAAGATGGTATACTATATCCTTTTCTGCCTTGGAATTTTTTTTTTATTTAACATTTCCTGGAAATCATTCCATATCAATTCATAGAAATCCCACCCACCCATCCCCACCCCACCCCCAGCCGGTTCAAAACAAC